GCTGTGTTTTATGGAGTGGGCCAAATATTGAGTTAACAGCAGGAAAGAACAATTTATTGGGCTTTTCTCCATCTCTTGATTATCTGATCTAAATTAGATCAGTTAGGTTGTTTTTCTCTAAAAACAAAACACCTTTTGTCCACTCAACTTCAAAGAATCTTTGATTGTTTCTGTTAGAACAATGATCTTTAGTAACATCTAGCTTTTATAGAAACTATACCTAATGTACTGAATATAGAGATATGAAATATAAACCCCTCTTTGTCCCTACATAAAACAAAATAACATAAATGAAAATGTACATTTAGCAGTTGATTTAATGTATACGTTACCTTCACATCTGAGGTATCTCTTTGGCTGTTTCTCCAAGACCTGGCTACTGAAGAGAAGGTTCGATCTGGGTGGTCAAATTTGCCATCATTTGCATTTAGGAAGAATGTTGTAAAGGGCTCCTGTAGTTAATGAAATGAAGACCGATTAAGAAAACAGCAGAAGGAATCATGCAGCAGGTTTCTAATGAAATCCAAATTACTTCTGCACATCAAAATACCTCATAAAAGCAAAATTAAAGAAAAATATGGTACCTCATAGTTATATCTATGCATGGGTATCTGTACTGAGTATTTTAATACATTTATTTGCACTAACACATTTTGCACAAACAAATCTTGAATTCTGGCAGAAAGGTTATTTTATATATTGAGTCTTCCATCAGACTAATTGCCCATCAATGGCAGACCTATGTAGCTTAGTTCCACTTCATGACGGTTGCCTATTTCACTCCAGCTATCAAAAACACTTTCTGTATTACTTCTGTTGCAATGCTTTGTTTACCCCTTGCAAGATGATGGTATGTCAAAATAAAATCTTATAAAATCCAGTCTAGATTTTCTTCTTGTTTTAATTTAATTTAAAAGACTTCAAGCTGTTCCATTTTGCCTGGCTGCATGGTCATTATGAGACTGACAATGGTTGAAGAGTACTTAGTTTTAGTGTTAATTTGGGGCAGAGGTAGAGAGATGAAAAAATTAAAGCTTTTACTTTTGTTGATTCTTTCTGAAACCACACTCCCAATACTTATTGAATTGAATTAGCTATTAACTTTTGGATAGGAAGAGGTCAAGTCTTAGACAGTCTGGAGAACACATTTTTATGTCACTGCATTCCACTGCAGGGCATGGGTTAACAGGGGACCAAATCCCTAATTTGACAGCAGAACCTCAACACCAAGATCACTGCCAACTCCCACGGTTTTCCAGCACCACTCTATTCATTCAATTAATATTAGGCAATATGTCCACATAGATGGAAACTACTTCTTCCGCTTCCCCAAAGCCTGATGGGGAATGGTTGGAAAAGTGTCTGTTTTGTTAAATTCACACCCAAATGAATTTCCTTGCATGTCCCGATCATTTGAAGATTTCATTAATCAAGGCATTTCCTAACCACCTGATCATAATTTTAATTACAGTATTACCCATATACTACTTGATTTTTTTCCTACATATTCTGTTTCCTTTTCTAAAACTTTTTAACAAAACAGGGAATAACTCCATTAATAAAGAGATTTTGAGGGAATTATACACATTATACACATTGTGTTTAAATTACCCAAGATTAAAGAGTACCGAAGTAATTAATTTTCTGTAGCATTCAAAAGCAATTAAAATATACGTAAGGAAAACATGGTGCAAAGGTAGTGAAAGAATCCAAAAAGAGAAGGAAAATAAAAGAGGGAATTCAGACTTCAGAAACCATTGTTTCTCTAAGCTTTACTCTGCTATGTCTCTCCAATTTATCTTTTCTATCATACACAACAGTTAACACAGGCTACTCTCTTTTCAAGAAGATAAAAACTAAATTTCTCTCTCTAAAGGAGAACGAAGGGAATATCTCTCTTATTGTCTCTATAGTATGTCTGTACCTTTGAAGCAATTTAAGGAAATTGTTAACATTGGAACAAAGATTTAGCTTTCTTTGGTTTGTTTTTGGTTTTGTTTTTTTTAGCCAGTGTATGTCAACACAAATATGGAATTGTTTTCATCATAATCATGTAAGCCATTCTACTGCTAAATGAATGGTGGATTTTTTCTATCTACACTTTCTTCTTAAAATATTTAGGGTTTATATTAAAAAGATACACTGAAAACAATAGGTAACAATATAAGAAATATACTTTCATCAATGCATTTATTCTCATCAGAGAATCCTAGTATGTGATAACTAAATAAAAATATTAAATAAATAAAAACTAGTAACAACATAATTTCTTGTTGGAAGACCCTAACTCCCACTGCACAATGACTTAGTTTGCAATTGCAAATATCGAAAGAGTGCAGGGTAAGTGAGAATGAGGTTTATAATTGGAATAGAATATTAAAATTCAACAGCAGCTCAACTTGGTGAGCAGCATAAAAGTATCACAATGGATTGCAATACTGGAAGAAAAGAAATTAAGTTTTTATATGTCTAGATTTTGCAGTGCTTCATACAGGGAACTTCATATAAAATGTAAATGAAAAAGCATATGATTCAGACCCAGAGCTAGCAAAATGAAAATAATATATACAGGAATTGGATCATATTAATTTAGTCTAAAATTCTATTAATATAATTTTAACATTAAATGCATATTAAATTCATTCAACACTAGAATTATTTTGGTTTTAACTAATTTCTCACAGCCCAATTATCTGTTTATATTTGCAATAACAATTTTTGCAAATTATGCTATTTTTCTAGCTTACCCATACTGAAAAACTGTATATGCTGATGATCTGAGAACAAATAATTCTGTCTTCTACCAACCCCAACCTAACACTTTTTCATGTAAGATATAAGTTGTTGTGAGTATCATTGTGCAGCACACTGTGGGTCGCTTCTGAGGTTCTAAAATCAGAAGTTGATGGATTAAAAAAAGGGGAGAAATCAGAAAAATGATGTCATTACAATAAATTATGTAAAAATATTAATCCAGAATTCCATGACAACATTATTTTAAGCATCTGAGAGAAATATACAAAAGCAATAAAATTCATAAGCAAGGATTAAACTTTTAATAGCTGAGCACTACAGGGTGCCCTATTATGCTATCTTGCTGTGACTTCTTGTGTCTGTCTTTTTGGATTTTTAATCCCTAGCAGAAATTCAGAGCTTTCACTTGCTTTATCTCTGACTTCTCACATAATTTTAACATAATTTTTATTCTCTGGAAAGCCAAGTGCTTATGTTATATAAATACAATTCATATCTGTACTCAATGTACTCTTAAATACTGTTATTCTATGATACCGATTACTGTCATTTCTTGTAAAGGTTTTGTTGCTGTGAAAGCTATAAAGCTGCACAATGTTTTCATTATAACCCCATCTCTCTCGTTCCTAATATTCTGAATAAAATTCACGCCTTGTTCACTGCCAAGAAGAAGAGAAATTTGTGGGGTACTTGATTACAATGAATACAAGCTTGAGCTGTGGGAACAAGTAATTTTTCCATTCAACAGCAGTTCTCTCCCTCCATCACCTTTTTAACAGTGCCTAGTCCTATTTGAATAATTTATGGTAGGAGTAGAAGAGGAAGAAATGTGTCATTCTGAGACACCTTAAATCAAACAAAAATGTCTTTTCAGCCATTTCTAAGAGGAGAAAAAGAGAGTAGTTGGAGTTTTGTCAGAGTGACATACACCTTTTGGCTGATACATCTGTGTCTGTCCTGCTGAGACCTACTGAACAGGACACTCAGATTCACTTCTGTTTACTAGAGGATTTCAAGTCCTCCGCACCTTCGAATCTAACTAGGAAACAGTTTTGGCTGAGGCAGACCTGCTTTACAATAAATCCAAAAATTCTTCTATGTTATACAAGGACTTAGTATAACAGAAATAGGAAACAAATTATTCTCTACAAAACTTCTTGGTCACAATATTAAAGAATTGTCCTCTCTGATACTGGTCTTTGTTTCAATGTTGATATAACTGATTCACTCAAACACAACTTCAAGAGCAACTACTGAGAGCAACTACATTCAATAACACCAGATCTCTAGCCTGTTATAGCTAAAAATGGGAAAACAGTGATGATATCCACATTATAGCCAGAATTAATTATTCTGTCTGCTTTTCTATTTTATTTTATCTATCTTTCAGGCTGACACTCAAGTCACTGTAATATATGACATTCTGATGTTGGATTCTTTGTTTAAAATATTCTACCCAGTACAACTCAAATATTCACTGGCTCACATGGAAAAAATTACTCTTGAACCAGGTGGTAAGGTCACCTATTCATAATCTATGAATATTTAATTTCATTGATGCAAAAATGGAGCTGTCTCAACAGGACAGTGGAATCCTTTCCAGAATACCTTTCATTCTGTTTGCTGAAGGAAAGTGTGCATGATGCTGGCTCAGATATTCTAAGGAATAAGATTTTCTTAGGTTTAAATCTAAAGTTATAAAGGGTTTCATTTCAGTAACACCTCAAAGGCAAGGAAGGCAATCTTACAAAAATGGTGGTGTTCTCTGTTAGTTTTATCATTATTATTAACCTGACTGAAAAATGTAGCAGACTTTAATATTTATTATCTGTACTTAATAATCTGCCTCTAAACTTAGAAAGTAAGCTGATCACTTTCAAGAAACATTTGATTTTTAATATTAACCTAACATTTGCAATTACAGCATTAAAAATATCTAGGCTGCGACTCAGTTCATTCCTTGTGAAGCTAGTTAAAGGACTGTTTCCTGACATTTCAGAATTCTAGTACTATGGAGTGGTCTGAAATGAACAATTAAGTAGTGTAAATAAAAATTTACAGGTTAAATAAGAATTACAATTGCAATTCACATATGAGTGTGTGAATGCACATATCTGTGTGTGCAGTGAGTTTCTACAGAAAATTTGTACAGTACATCTTGCTCTGGGAGAGTTTCAGGGTCAGCTCTATAACCCTCAAAAGTGACCATAACCAATGATATATGGCCTAGTGAGACTGAACCACTGTTTATCCTGAAACTGCCTCTATTTTCTCCTAGAGGTCTTACAGAATAGAATGGAGCACACCTAGACTTGTACAACCAGCTCACAGAAAATACAAACAGAAGCTTTCAAGCTGCGCTTGTAGCCCATAGCTTCAATTAAGGATCACGTCCTATTCTGTTAAGTATAATAAAAAGCAGAAGAAAAACAAAAATTTTAAATAAATGTATTACAATTGCTGTAATTATCAGTAGCTTCAACATAATATATGCTAAGCCACCACCATATTTTTCAAAACTTAATGAAACAGGTCAATTTTAAAAATGGATTTTTACTGTACACTCTTAGTACAAAAGAATTCAAGAGAAAACCACACTACCAGTGACAAATGTATTAATGACAAAATGGAGACAGAGATTGATGATATCAGAATCAATTAAACAGGACAGAACTGAGTCTAAAGGATAAAGTGCGATTTATAAAAGTAGCCTGATACATCAGATAAAGGAAAGCTACAGAGGGAAATATAAGACAATAGGGAGCAGATTATCACTGAGTTGACTCAGAAATGTGATATTGCAAGCAATGTTTTGAAGACAACTGACAGGAACCAGATTGCATCTGTCAAAGCCAAAAAGCAAGATTTTTAAGATTTTGTGGCAATTCCACAACTCTCTATATATATTTTCAGAGTTCCTGAAACTACTTTTCCTACTGCAACTACTACCTCCAATACAAAGGTCAAGATGTGTAGTTTCTCCCCATGGATCCCCATCACTCTATACTGGTTTGTTCTGCTTCTAGCTAGACTAACTTGTTCCAAGTTTACTTTTTGTCATACCTTTTTGTTTGTTTGCTTGTTCACTTCCTCTCCATTTCTCTCTTTTTTTTTCCCCATCTTATTTTATTGTTCAGTCTATTCCATCTTCTCTAATGATTTTACCTTCCACTCCTCTCTTTCACTCTCAGTTTGTTGTCATATGCTATCAAAAGCTCTACTGTAACACATCTCATTAATCTTTTGCGATCTCTTAAAATACTGAAAGCATTTTACTGTCTGAATCTCTGCATCTTTTGTTGTCATTTTCATCTTCCTGCACTAGACTGTGATTTATCTTTTATAAAATGTTCTTACACAGTTTTCTTCACAAACTCATACCAGAAAACTAGTTTCAAAAATTCATTCAGCTACTTTAGCTTCCAGAAATCTGACTTAGCCTTATACATCAACTTCACTGGCATAATCTTCTCCCTTCGGATTTTTCATCCTTTATTTTGTAGTCAAAATATCTCTCTAAGGATCAGTATGACTTTATAATCCTCATAGCTAAAATCTTTTACTGTCTCTACACATACTTAATTCCAAATCTTAATTTTTTTTATTTCCATACACAGCCCTATCCAATATCATCACATTATTTCCTTTTTCCCTTTTCTGAGCTTTAAATCTTCCTCACATCTCTCTCCTTCTCACTTTCATTGTCTCCTCCCACAACTGATTCCTTTATTGTTTTCACCTTCTTGTCATCAGCAATCTCTTCCTTGTTTTTCCCACTGCTTCTCCTTTTCTGCTTGCTATTCTCACATATATTGTTTGCTCTAACAAACATAATTTGGCCATCAAGCCAGAGACCCTGTTCTCTTGCTCCCTTAGGGCAGAAGAGAAGAGAGCAAGGACACCTACAGTACTGCATAAACATCAGTAGTAAAAATGACACAGCATTAGCCTAACACAGGAAATTAAAACTCCTTGGTGTGCTGTACATTCAGCTTTTAAGTAGACTTTCATACCTAAGATTTTGCTGACCAGCAAGAGGGAATCTTTTGTTGAATAGCAGCCAAAGTTAATAGATAAGCATGCAAATAAATACAACAGGTTTTCATACACTTTAAGGTAACAAAGAAGCACATTATTCTGGTTTGGTTTGGAGTTTTTTTTGGTAGGGGGGAAGGGCTCCAGGGGTTGTTCCAGTAAGATGCTGAGAAGCTCGCCCTGCTCCAAAACCAGCCAAGGAGCCTTTAGAGGGACAATAGATGCCCTCTGCGATTAACATATGAAAGAACTGATATAAAACCTGAGCAGAGAAGCACCGAAGGGGATAAGAGCTGTGCTGGAGAAGGAGAGCGGTGCTGGTGGTTGGTGAGGACAAAGGGGAAGAAGGAGCCCAAGCAGAAGTTTTCCTGCAACCCATGGTGAGATGGCAGCTGTCCCTCTGCACTCATGGAGGAACGTGATGGAACATTTCGTGAAGGTGCCAGGAGGGGTGAAATTGGCTAGCGGATTTGGATTTTGTGGCCAGAGGATTTGCTGCCTGTGGACTCTCTGATTGTGCAGCTTCAGATGACCCTGGCGCCAGGGGAGTTTGTTTCCAAAACAGCCTGTGACTCTGTGGGAAGCCCAGGCTGGAGCAGCTCTGGACCTTGTGGGAAGGACTCATGAAGGAGAGGTTCGTGGAGGACTCTCTCCCATGGGAGGGACCCCGTGGGGAAGCAGGGAAGGACTGTAAGGAATCCTTCCTGAGGAGGAAGTAGTAGCAGGAACCACGAGTTTGTGAAGTGTCTCTAAACCCCATCCCCTGTCCCCCTGTGCTGCTGGGTGAAAGGAGAGAGAGAAACTGTGAACAAAAGTGATTTGGACCTGAGAAGAAGGGAAGAATGGCTGTAACATTCAGGCACTGCTCTTTGTGTTGTCTGTGCCCTGTGTGTGTTTCATTAGTGTGAAATTATTTTTTTTTCCCCCAAGTTGAGTCTGTTTTGCCCGTGACCTCAACCAATGAAGAACCCTCTTTGTCCTTTGTCTCAACCCATGAGCTTTGTCCTCCTCATCCCAGAGAGTGTGTATGTGGGAGGGGTGGGTAGGGGGGGAGGATGGGACAGTTGAGTGAGTGGCCATGGGGCTGTTCCTCTGTTGTCGTGTTGGGTCCAAACCCTGACACATGTCAACCATAAAATGTATTCAAAGGACATGAATAATTTATTATAATTTAAAAGGAGTACAGTGATCAACCCATATAGGAGTGTAATCAATACTTGGTTATCCACAGGTTAAGAAGTATAACTTGAACTCATAGACATATGTTCTCTTCCTTTCTGAGAAGAAAAATAGGACACGTCTAAGGGAAGATGAGTGATAACTAAGAACTGTCGGTTTGCGCAATTCTGCTTTGTTTGGCTGTGTGCAAAACATGCTTAGAATGCACCTTATATGACAGATTTTTATTGGCAGGATGTAGTTTAAGTTCAGTAATTATATAGTGACTCAATTTTTCATTAACTCAGTTTTCTCTGTTAAACTTTAACAACACTCTTATCAATACTCCTTTTTCTGAAGTTCATTGTATAAACACACAAATGGAATTAAGTTTCATTCTTTCTTTGAAGTTTGGCCCCCTCTCTATTTCTGATTTTAAGGATAAGATTTAAGCATGAGGACTGCAGATTTGAAATAGCAGCTTGTAGTTAGATTCTACATCTACATTTCTGAAAACTGTAAGTTATTAATTCATTGAGAAGCATAGCTAATTTGCATAAAATATTACTGCATACTGCTTTAATATGAAACTGGCTCTATAATTCTCCTCTCAATACGACATAGTGTGCATTTTACCAGTTTTTTCTTTAATATTGTACACATCTGTCCCTAGCTGAAAATTATAAATGAATACACGAGTAGTATCAGCTTTCCATGAGATTTCTTTGCAAATGGATTTAGTTTTAGATGGATTTTCTTCATCGTATGTGTCCTTACACCTCTACAATTTCATGTCTAAATATATTATAGATTTTCTGGGTAGGAAGGACCTCCTGATTACTGCAGATGAATACACACAGGGTATCTAGAGAATTTTTGAGATTTTAAGGTAGGGGAGAACAATGTTATTTTGACTGACAGGTATTTTCATTAAAAAAAAAAAAAATCAAAATAGCGGTGACAGAAACGCTGCAAAAACATTAATGAAAACCAGGACCCAGAAATACTTACAATACGAACAAGCCAAGCCAATGTAGAAGTAGACGTAGAGTAGTGGGTGTTGTAATGATAAGGTGGAGTCTGATCATCTTCCCATGTTTCATACCGTTCTGCATAGAAGACTGCTCTCTTTGGGTTCAAAGCACCAATAGGCTGCAAAGGGATAAGAGGTCAAATATATTACCAGCTGAAGGGCAGCATGTTTGGTATGTCACAGGTTAATTCTGCAGTAAGATTCACTACATAGGAGACTGCAAGCAAACTCATTCCATGCTGTAGTAAGCCCTTCACATTGCTATAATCTTAGAATATCCTTTCAAAGGCTTTGTATACTAAAAGTCTTATGACTTTCCTTATTTTAATTGACAAATATAAGTGATCCACATCTGCAAACTTTCAAGGCTTTCTTGAAGTATGAGTTGTTTCCCAATTAATTCAGTAACATTGTTCTGGAAATAGACTTCTAAAACTGCATTTTAAATGCATTGAGGCCAAACTAATATTTCTGTTGCTGTCATTCACTATAATCACACAGCTAATGAAAACTGACTTTTGCTCACACAGGATACTTTGTAATGCACAGCTCATGATGAAAAGATTTCACGCGGAACTGCTGATGGTGTCTGGTGATCCTAAGCAGAAATACTTAAAAAACCATGCATAGTCCTGCAGGACTGGATCTACTTCTCACTGAACAAAGCCAGGTTTTACTGAGTGAAACAAACAAGCCTCGTTCTTAAAAACAATAGGATTTGGAAATTATTCATAAATTCAAACTACATTCAGAGTGTACTTAACAGACAATCTATACAAATCAGGAAAAAAACAAAAGACATTTAAGGCAGTAGTAGGAACTGTTCGTTTTGACATGTGTACTTAGGGGATAAATGCTTTGCTAAGGTTTTTTTTTAGACCATTTTATCTCCTAATTTTTTGCAAAGTATATTTGTCATTGTGTGATACAAAAGTCACTGGGATAAAGAAAACAGAAAACACAACAGAAAGTAGACAAAATGTTGAAATATATAAGTGGTCTTAAATCTGTTTTTGCAGATGAAAGAGCAGTACTGTATTTATTATCTATCTGCAAAGAATCTTCAGATTTCAGCTTTTGTAGTAAAATTAAACAAACACATAGACTTCAATACTTAAAGAACACTTTCAAACCAAATAACTGGAGAAACTTACTATAATTTTAAATTATTCCTTGATATGTATTAATCAAAAAGTAAGAGTTAGAATTTATACTGTTAAGGGGATTACAACTTGAAAACAAACATACTCAAGAACTTTGACCCTTTTCAAAATGTTACCAGGTATTCTTGCATTTCATTACACAGCACAATTTTTCTACTGAGTTAAAATCCGAAGTCATTTGGAAAGGAAATGGCAGCACAAAATCAAACCAGTGTTTCCTTACACTACATATGCAAGCAAGCAATTTTAAAGCTACAAGTATTAAAGCTATTCCTTCAGCGTTGCATTGTTTTTTGAGATGGCTGTTAAAAAGGCTGACATAGAGTATGCTGTTTTCCAGTTTTTCACATTAGACCTTTTTTTTTTTTTAAATAGCAGTGGTTTATGAACACCTATATTTTAACACATTATGATTTCCACATTTTTTGCAGGAAACACTCTGGATGCTTAATACTTTGCTGTGTCATGGAGATGTTAATAGCTTTCTCATATGTGTAAAATGCATGAGTAATCCCTAAGGATCAGTGTTATCTAATGCAGATGCACTGCAAGGCCTCTCAAACATTCTTGAAAGTATGAACCATTCTCTAACACTATCCAGGCTTGTTTCCCAACTACTGAAAGTAAATAAAATAATATTTGCGTTTTTGTTATGCTTGGTTTTGTTACACATCCTGCCACTGTCAGGAAGCACACTGGCATTATTATAGGCTATAAGTTGTCAATATAAAAAAATGGTTGTTTCTTGAAAGAGTAACTTATTAAAAGACATTCTTTTCCTATTAGACTGACAAACTGTGCAGATATATGTGTACATTGAGAAATTGTATCAAGGCTCTGGGTTGCTTTAGGGACTGTATGAGACCTGCTGATATCATGGTACTGTGCATCTCCACTTCTCTGGCAGAACAAATTCCAGTCCCCAGCTGCACATTTCAAAAGCTAAAGCAGTAATTCACACCCTAGTCTGTTAACAGGAAACGTTCACCCCCTCTGAGAAGGAAACAAAAAATGGCAGACAAATCAGTGAGATTGTATTTTGTAATGGAAAAACACCCTGAGAATATCTCTTCCCTCCACTGTGAAGGTCCATCTTACCCTATGCTGCAGTTAATTCTGAGGCTAGGGAAGACAGGGGTGTCATCTGTCACAGTATTACTGTACATAGGTATTTGAAGGCACAGTAGTGAAGGGATATGGTGCTTAATGCTAGACTGAAAATCAAAACTTCAAGTCTTTCAAAATATATTTGAAGCCAATCAAATGTCTTTCATCAAATAAGCTATGTGTTTTCATACTTCATAGTTTTCATACTTCACTGTAAATTGATCACAGTAACAAGAACTGTGAAATATAACTGATGCACAAAACTAATTACAAGATAAGTTATTTTAGAGACTAGCAAAATGTTAATGATGGTTTAACTCATAGCTTTAAATAACTATTTCTAGAAAGAAAAAGAATATATATATACACACACGTATATTGTATTTAATGGAAACAGAACTTTCTCTCAAGAACTTGAGAGTAATTTTCCAAAGTTACATAAAACACTAATGCAATCACACCATATTTTCTAGGTTCTTCAGGGAAAAATGTTATTTCAATTTCAAAGATAAAATATATAAGGTTGTAGAATTGTGCATTCCCATTTTCATGTAAAAAGTTCTGCCCAAGTAGCTAAAATAATCTACTTTCTGAAGGCCTACATTCAATTTATTAAATTATAAACCTAAAAAGCTGTATTCTGAAGATTACCTTCATCCTCATCAATATTCTTTTTGGAGTCAGAATCCATTCTTCTTTCAATTACTTTAGGATTCATTTCATGGAAAATGCTGTAATGTACAAAATATCTACTGGACAAAAAGAAATCTTTAAGTGAAATATCATGAGAGTCATTCATCTTCGTGTATGGTATGGAAATTTCATGTTAAAACTCCAGGAAGAATCTTTTCTGGGAATGACCCTTCCTTGTTCCAGAGGGAAATAAACTATGAAAGAAAAAAAGGAGGTCAAATAGAGCTGGTCTTCAGCTAGAAAGTCTCATCTCGACTTTGCTGGAGAGATCCTTCCTGGGATCAGGAGATACAGGTTAATTTCTATCATTCCACAAAGATTTCCAGTGTTCCTGGGTAAACTGCTTAAGTATGACCATAGCTTGCAATATAAAGGTGTGCTGGAAATCCCTGAGCTGGTTCTAGAGGGGCTGGTGAGGAAACATGGCACCATTTATGCAGAGATGACAACTGGAATCTCAGGATTTGTTGAGTTGTGTCAATGCAGCACTGCACAGGGACGAGAGCTGGGAGCTACACTGTGCTCATACAGCTGCAGCTCCTGGCTCAGCATTACACTGGTTGTCTCTGGCCTGTGGCAAGGAAACCCAAGAAACATCTGACCCCTTCTTTCTCCTTTTCTGTGTGATAATGGAGTCCCACATGTGAATCAGTTCTATGCGCATTAATGGAAACGACTTAAATCTCCTGATGTAGGAAACTATGCACATTGAAAATGCTAATGGAAAGTGCTCAAATGTCTTCTTTCTTTCTTTCTTTCTTTCTTTCTTTCTTTCTTTCTTTCTTTCTTTCTTTCTTTCTTTCTTTCTTTCTTTCTTTCTTTCTTTCTTTCTTTCTTTCTTTCTTTCTTTCTTTCTTTCTTTCTTTCTTTCTTTCTTTCTTTCTTTCTTTCTTTCTTTCTTTCTTTCTTTCTTTCTTTCTTTCTTTCTTTCTTTCTTTCTTTCTTTCTTTCTTTCTTTCTTTCTTTCTTTCTTTCTTTCTTTCTTTCTTTCTTTCTTTCTTTCTTTCTTTCTTTCTTTCTTTCTTTCTTTCTTTCTTTCTTTCTTTCTTTCTTTCTTTCTTTCTTTCTTTCTTTCTTTCTTTCTTTCTTTCTTTCTTTCTTTCTTTCTTTCTTTCTTTCTTTCTTTCTTTCTTTCTTTCTTTCTTTCTTTCTTTCTTTCTTTCTTTCTTTCTTTCTTTCTTTCTTTCTTTCTTTCTTTCTTTCTTTCTTTCTTTCTTTCTTTCTTTCTTTCTTTCTTTCTTTCTTTCTTTCTTTCTTTCTTTCTTTCTTTCTTTCTTTCTTTCTTTCTTCCTTCCTTCCTTCCTTCCTTCCTTCCTTCCTTCCTTCCTTCCTTCCTTCCTTCCTTCCTTCCTTCCTTCCTTCCTTCCTTCCTTCCTTCCTTCCTTCCTTCCTTCCTTCCTTCCTTCCTTCCTTCCTTCCTTCCTTCCTTCCTTCCTTCCTTCCTTCCTTCCTTCCTTCTTTCTTTCTTTTCTTTCTTTTCCTTTTTTTTGTGTATGTGTAATTAAAAAACTTGCTGGTTAACCACAAATAGCTTAGCTTGCATGAACCAAATGACCAGGGATTTTCTGAAAGTGAAAACTTCCATAAATCAAACAGCATGGAGTAAATTCAAAGAGGTCCATCCCTGGTTTCCTTATTGGCTTCTCAATGTCCATGTCACAAAATGCTGTTACCCAAAGAAGTGGTAACAGTAAAGATATTCATGTATTTCAGTAAAGACACACTTTTTCTTTAAAGACTTTAAAACTCAGTTGTACAAATTAGTAGCTAACCCAGTTTTCTTCAGATGAGGCATGTGTACTGCTAGATAATGAATTCTACAGTAATGACATTTCCTGTGAAATCTGTAGGGTAGATGGAACTTTGGTCACTTTTTCATAGAGTTACAGTGCCATTCTCAGTCCAGAGTCAACTATTATGACTAAATCTGATACCATAGCTATAAACTAGAAATATATTTTATGTACAGATCGATCTCTGTATGTATTCATGTAATGGAATAATATAATTTATTTCCATTTTTATGAGATCCTACTGATGTGCAAACTACTTAAATGATTTGCACAAACAACACAAAGGCAAAGCTCAATCCATGTGCTATATCTCAATCCATACTTTAACCATAAGACTAATATAGAAACTGAATTTGAGTCAAA